TGGAAACACTTAAGAATTGCAAAAGATAGTTGTTGTTTTTTTAAATCTACTGACGAATTGCTCTAGTAACCCAAAGAAGTGAAGGAGAAAGCAGCTGTCTCACTGCCCAGATACTGATTTGTTCAGGTGTTTCAATGCCTTGTTATACAATTGTTGTTGTTGTTATGTGCCGTGGAGTCGGATCCAACTCTAAGTGACCCTGTATAGAGCTTCTGAGACTGTAAATCTTTACGGGAGCAGAAAGCCTCATCTTTCTCCCGTGGAACAGCTGGTAGTTTCGAACGGCTGACCTTGCGCCTCGCAGCCCGATTCATAACTACTACAATAACAATGAAAATTTTCTTAAAAACAAAAAACAATGCAAAAAGACAAAGTTGGGGCAAATGCATCTGGCTTTTTGCCCTCTTCTAGTTTAATGAGAGGACTCCTGGTATGGCACTGTAGAAAAAGCACCGAACTGTGAACCACAAGGTAGGCCGTTGAAGCCCACCAGCTGCTTCTCAGAAACCCTACACGGGGTCACTATGAGTCAGAACAACAGGCTTCAGAGAAGTGTAGGACAATTGTCCCCAGGGACCATACCAGCAGCACCTGCATCATCTGCATCATCTGAAAGTCTGTTAGCAGTCCAGATTCTCAGACTCCCAGACTTCCTGCACCCGAAACTCAAGAGTGGGGCGCAGCAATCAGTGTTTTAACAAGTCCCAGGTGATCCCCAGGCACACTGAAGTCTCAGGATCACTGCTTTAGCGCCATGTCTGTCCCCATTCCGTGAGTTTCCAGCAATGATGGTTAACTTTGCAGTGCTTTTGGCCATTGATGGGTCAAATGTTGATAACAATCAGGAAGAGCAGACCTGGAAAGGCCAACTTATGGTTGAGAGTCAGATGGCCTTTGTGACAAGGCTGAAGGTGCATATTATAGGAGGTCAGGAAAAACAGGCCAGTGGAGGAAGGATAACTGCATCACATAAAGTAGTTCCTGAATTGCACCTAAGAAATATAGAACTTGTAATTGGATGGCTGGAAGATTGTGGTCTTGAGCAAAGCAAGCCTGTGACCTTGCTGTTTAGAGTTATGCTTTATCAAATTAGTTGTATACCTACTGTATTTCAAGCTTAACCAGGACAGACAAGACTTCCAGGAACGAATTTCTTGAGGACAGAAATGATCAACTGCAAGATTCTGAGAACAGATGACCCTCAGCAGGAGTGGTGGGCTAAACCTGCCGGATCCATAGTACAGTTGGCCAGCCCTGGGGACCAGCGTTTTAGAAGAGGAAGAGACAGTACAAATGAGCCATCAGATTAGTTCCGCAGGCTGGAAAAGATGTAAAGCTTTCATTCTCTTCACAAAGTAAAGTTTAAAAGACTAAAATATATTCCTAAAGGAGTCATGAGAATGCAGGCATCCTTGAGACATAGCAAAATAGACCAACACCTCCAATTCTCCTGACTTTCTGTCTCTCTATCTTCTCTTGGCCTCTCTCCTGTAAGTGAAAGATGAGTTTTGCTAAATTAGGTAGCAGTTGGAATGAGTTTTATTCACCAGCAGTATTGGGAATAACAGCAGAGCCTGCAGGAATGTGAGCTCCAGCAACAAGTAATCATTATTACAAAATCAAATTTCCCATCTCATCTCTGATATGCCTGTATGTAACCCTAGAGCTGGGCTTCAAAGTATTATAAATCCAGCCTACAAGACATGGAGCAGTGGGATATGGGGCCCCTTGTGTATCAAAAAACCCTGACCAGCAAGAGAGATATATGAGGGTAACTCCTTCTCCATTGCTTTTGCAATAAAATTCACCCAGAGCTCCAGGAAGAGTTGAGAATGTAATTCAGCCTCAATAAATCATGACTAAAATTAAGATGGCCAGACATGTAGTAGCCTGCACAGGTGTGTGGAGAATTTGAAATTTAGTGCCCTGGAAATGGGTCGCAGCTTATTTAATTATGGAAAGCAAGAAGAAATATTGCTCTTCAGGGTAAAAAGTTAAATACTCTAATCCATTCAACCAGCATATCTCTGCCATGGCTAGATTAATACAAAAGTTTGTGTAATATGCGATTTTTTTTTTAAAAGGGATGAAGTCCGATGTTAGAAAAAAACAACCATATAAATGAAAAGGCTATCCTTCACAGTAATTCTCATTTGACTACTTGTCAGAGTTGTGTGTTTTCTTTCAGTGCGATATATGTGTACCTAGGAAGACAGTTCTAGTGCTTCCTTACAGGTTATCTACTTAACATTTATCGACGTATCTTGAAGCTATTCTGGATAGATTTTCAGCAGTGTTCTCATTAATTGGATATGCTGTTTGGGGGCATTAAGGAACCCTGATAGCATTGTAAGGTAAGCACTGAACTGCTAATCTCAAGGTTAGCAGTTCAAACTCATCAGCCAATCTCTGGAAGAAAGATGAGGCTTTTTGCTCCCGTAAAGATCTACAGCCTGAGTAACCCTATACGGGCTCGCTGAGTCTTAATCGTCTTGACAGCACTGGGTTGAGTTAAGGCTATGATGCACTGACAATGGCTGATCTTCCCCATTCCCTGGGGCTCCTGTCGTCCCTACAGGAAATCTCAAGTTTCCATTACTGGCTGTGGTTAATCATGGCTTCAGGTTTAATTAGGTGAATCAATGGTGAATCACTGTTTAATAGAGCAAAAATCAGATTTCCCATATATCATACACAAATGAGCAGTGACATATTATTACTAAATTGGCATGGAGATGCGAAGCAATTTAACTGGGATGTCAGGAGGTGGGTGGATGATGATTTTATTCTTAAAACTGCGTCACTTTTCCCACCCTGTAGTGACAGCTGTCACCCGGTTGTCAGTGAGAGGACGCTGTGGTACCAGTGCAGGACTGTGCTCCACAGGGTTTCCAGGGCTGATCTTTTCAGAGTTCAGTCACCAGGCCCTTCTTCCTAGGCACTTCTGAATGCACTCAATCTCCCAACCTTTTGGTAAGTAGCTGAGTGGTGAACTGTTTGCACAATTTGGGGACTCCAAAAGAAATTTATAAAAAAAATTACTAAAATACTTCATGAGAACTGTGCCTTTTGGACAAATGACCTCTTGATACTGCTTTCAGTTCTACAATTTATATTTATTTTAAAACTGGTCCAACGGATTCCAATTCGTGACAAATCTGTGCATCCTTGGCTGAAGGATGATCCTTTCCTTATTTTGAATATCTAATCTATTCCTGAAGGCTGCCTGTGGAATAGGTAAAAGCGCCACGCATTTATCTACTCACCCACTGACAAGGCTGCACCAGATCATGCCCTGATGAAATTGTACAATTTCCACTCCTTCCAACTCTGGTCTAACTGAGGTGCTAGCATATGCATTAGTCTCTAACATGAGATCATGTGAATGTTAAACATCTTCCTAGAGCTTGGAATATAGGAAGTCAGTGAATGGTTTCTGATTATGTTTATTTACTTTCAAAAAGTGCCAAGTGTCTGACAACCTCCTGAAGAAATCTACATGTCCTGTTTTAGGCATGTTTTGGACCATTAGATTGTACTCTATGATGTTGTTGTTAAGTGCTGTCAAGTTGTTTCTGACCCATAGTGACCCCGTATAGGGTTTCCAAAGAGTGGTCTGTGAACCACCGACCTTGGGGTTCAAACCACTTTGCAGTCCAGCACATTAGCCCACAGAGCTACACCTGGACTCCTGCTCTATGATGTTGTTGTTAGGTGCCATCAAGTCGATTACCGACTCATAGTGACCTTATGCACAGCAGAATGAAACACTGCCTGATCCTGAGCCAGCCTCACTACTGTTGCTACGCTTGAGTCCATGATTCTGCCACTTGGCCAATCCATCTCGTTGGGGGGGTCTTCCTCTTTTTCTCTGACCCTCCACCTTACCAAACATGATATCCTTCTCCAGTGACTGACCCCGCCTGACAATATGACCTACTCTATGATGTGGTGGTTATGTGCCGTGGAGTTGATTCCGACTCATAGCAACCCTGCACAGGGTTTCCGAGGCTGTAAATCTTTACGGGAGCAGAAAGCCTCATCTTTCTCCTGTAGAACAGCTGGTAGTTTCAAAATGCTGACGGTGAGATTAGCAGCCTGATTTGTAACCACTATGCTACCAGAGCTCATGTGACTCTATGATGTTGTTGTTGTTGTTAAGTGCCATGAAGTCAGTTCCGACCCATAGTGACCCTGTATAGGGTTTCTGAGGAGCAGCTGGTGAGCTTGAACCACCGACCTTGCAGTTCAAACGGCTTTGCAGTCTGGTGCATTAACCCACAGTGCCATACCATAACTCCCTGTCCTAGTTTAGGCAGGCTCAAATGCGAGGTCAGTTGGCACCGCAAGGATGGCAGGTGGGAAAGAACCTAAGAACCAGGAAGGACCCTATGGCTCAGGCAGTTCAGAAGTTAGTTTCACATCAACTAATATTGACTTACAAGAAAGAAAGAAACAAACACAAAAAAGATTTTTTCAGCCACGTGTTTTTTACTAGCTTACATAAATATCTGAAAACAAATTCACCTCGCTTCCTTTCTGTATCCTTGGCACAATTTATTATAGATTTTAATAAACAAACTATCTAAATAGTCACGGGGGAAATGCATTTTAAAATATGAAACAGAGGTTAATAAATAGGCAACTATGTCAAGTACGGCGAGGACCATCTAGTTGTTCCTTTAAGATCCAGTCACTGATTTGCAACTTTTATTAATGCAAATTTCATCTATAAAACAAGGTAATTTACAACTTGATCTTGACTCACATTTTTTGGGGAGACAGCAGTTGAATTTTTACATTAAACAAACTGCAAAATTTCAACCAAAGGACAAATAAAGCATTCATTTTTAAAATTTTAGGTTCTATAAATAAAGGACAAATAAAAGTTTACACTTTTAAACTTTTAACTTCTACACCAACAAATAATGACTTGATATCAATTATGTTATTCCGTTTGCGATGTTTTTCAGCTCTCTTCTGCAGTGCACAGGCAGCTTCTAATGGGAATTGGTGTAGAGTCTGTTCTTGATGAAGACGACACGGGGCAGATGTTGCCTGATGCCTGGACAATGTTGAATGTGACAGAACCAGCGAGACACATTCAGATACTTCTCCTTTTCTTGAACTGTCAGGTCAACCTAAGTAGACATTAAAAACACACAACACAGACATCATTTAAACATGACTAGTATCACTTGAATTGTTGCTGTTTGTAAGTGCCGCCAAAAGTTGGTTCCGACTCATAGCGACCCTATATAGGGTTTCCAATGAGCAGCTGGTGGTTTGAGCCACTGACCTTTTGCTTAGCAGTCCAGTGCTTATCCTACAGCACGACACCAGGAGATATAAATTGGGGATAGGGAGCATGGCAGGGAACACAAGAGTGAAGGCTTCAGCCACTTGGAAGAACTACCTGTTTAATGCATTTTATGTTTACTTTAAAATCAAATGGGCTTTCTAGGGAAATTTCATGTTTTCAAAACAAATGAATAATAAGCATTTATTACCCAGGATCTGGAGGTTCAAGAAGTTTTTTTAATTGGAAAAGAAGGTAGGAGAGAGGCAAGACCAAGACATGGCTGTACCCCATCTTTTTTAACATACCTAAAAAAAATAAAAGGTTTATTGGTACTTAATGTAATATACATAAAAAACAAAACATAAAAAACCCTACTGCCATGGAGTTGATTCCAACTCATAGCAACCCTATAGGACAGAGTAGCCCCACCGGGTTTCCAAGACTGTAAGTCTCTGTAGGCCCACTCTTTCTCTGTTGGCCCAGATTACTTAAAGCACATCTTTCTCCCCCAGCTATGGGTCAAACAGCGCCTCCTGGTTAGTGGTTAGCTGCTGAGCCCACCGCAATTATCAGGGCTTCTAGTTTACATACTTGGAGTCCTGGTGGGGCGCTGTGGGCTAATGCGTCAGACTGCAAAGTCATTTGAACTGCAAGGTCGGTAGTTCAAGTTCACCAGCTGCTCCTTGGAAACCCTATACAGGGTCGCTATGGGTCAGAATTGACTCGATGGCACTTAACAACAAGTTAACATACTTAACAAGGGAACACTGTAAAATTCAATACGTGAACAGGATTCAAAAGTTTATGGAAACATGGAATTGAAAGGTCATAAAAATTTCCACAAACTTTTAGAAGCCCACTCATATTTATGTTGTTGTTGTTGTTGTTAAGTGCCATCGAG